AGTTAAACACTGCTTTTCTTTAACATCAAACCCCCATCGGTGCGGCCAGCGGTTTGTCCTGGTTGCTCGTTCACTCTGTCACTAATAAGTCGCATCAGTGTGTTGCTCTTCCAAGACGTTTCCTCTGTGAGAGGAGGAAAGTTGCCTGAGCATGGATGAGGTTTTCCTAGCTGCCTGTTTTAGGTTCCAGAAAAGCCTATGCAGTGGCCAAAGAGCTGCGTGGGAACCCTGCGGCTCTGCGAGTGAGGCACAAGGAAAGGTTTTTCACTGCCTCGGGTTCGGCGATTCAGCGCTGCACTGGTGTTTGTAACGAGATGAACGTGACAATTGTGGGGGGAAAGCTGAATTGTGCATTCACCTGTGTGTTTTCAGTGACCTGCTTTGCTCGGGGTTCGCTTTAGTAGCAGCCTCAGGCAGCTGTGCTGGCGGCGAAACCTTCAGCCGTTTGTTGTGTTAATCTGTGTGTTTTTCCGGGTATTGGCTGTGCTGAAGGGATGTCACAGCTTCTTGGGCTGAGCAACGGATCTTGTGTCACATTTACAACACAGATGGAGAGAGGCTACTGACCGGGGATGGAGGGACAGGACACAGGGAGTGGCTTCTCACTGCCAGAGGGCAGGGACAGATGCATATTGGGCAGGAATTCCTCCCTGTGAGGTGTTGAGACACTGGCACAGGGTGCCCAGAAAAGCTGTGGCTGCTCCATCCCTGGGAGTGTTCCAGGCCAGGTTGGATGGGGCTTGGAGCAGCCTGGGCTGATGGGAGATGTCCCTGCCCAGGGCAGGGGGTGGGATGAGATGAGCTTTAAGGTCTTTCCAACTCAACCCATTCCATGGTTATGAAAAAGGGATTGCTACTATTCAGGTTTAATTCCCTTAAAACCCAGTGTTATTGACTGTAAACTGCCTTCACAGCAATGCCAAGAGCTGCTGATCCTGATAATTGCTAATTACAGCTGTTCCTTCAGCAAAGTTTTAGTGTGATAAGAAACATTAGCTGAAATTCTAAGCGTGTGATGAACCTCAGTCTGTGGTGCTTAAACTGAGCCCCTGAGAGGTTTCTCTTCAGTAGCACAGTGTCCCCAGGTTGCATTTCTTGGCTTGCTCTGGAAGAATTATGACAACATCATATGTTATATATAATATGACAAACAATGATGCTTAATCACACGTAATGTAATTTTTGCCACCAGACAAATCCCATCTCCAGCACAAAATCTTCTGTACCCTAATACATCATTCCCACTTGATTTCTTAGGGTAACACAGGGGTGTCATGCTAGGTCTGCTCTTGGCCCATCTTGGCTGTGGAGGAATCTGTGCAATTAATCTGGGGAATATGAGAGTTTTCAGGGGTATCTGGTCAGTAGGCTGAGTATCTTTTTGTTACAGCTTTAGGACATCTCATAAAAAACCCCAAAACAAAGCATGAAATGATGCTCAGCTGAGAATGTTGAGTGAGTTCTGCCCTGCAGAGATGGGGGAGAGTGGTAATTATTTCCTTTTGCCTGTAATAGAAAAATCTGTGTATTGTATGAGTTTCTATTTGATTCTTTTCTCTTTTCAGCTGTAGCTTGAATTAGAGTGGACTCAGCTGCTGAAGCCTCACAATGAATCCTCTTAGCTCCAGGATTCCTTTTCTCTCTTCCTTATTATTCCATAGGATGTAGTTTTACAGAAGCACTTGGCTTCAAGGTCTTGTGCCTGCCCAGGTTGTCCTTGGTCCCAGGTTATTTTCTGCAGCAGTCCCTGTGTTGCAGCATCTGAGATAATTTATCTCTTTTTGTTTATTAATGTGTCATGTAATCTTTATTATCCTCTGAAGCTCTGGAGTATGGCTGAAAGTACTCCCAGGATCCCAGGGTTGCATAGTCCCACCCCCAGATGAGGATTCCAGGAAGTAATGTCAGGGATTGCCTTTGGTGATGTGGCAAAGTGCTGCTGTTTAGGATCCACTTTATTTGGTTTCTGCCTCGAACTGAGCTGTAAAACTCTGTGAGGCTTAACTGATAAGAGAAATAAAGCTCTTAAATGGGTAGCAGAAGCATGTACAAAAACCAGTCCCCTTGGTTTACATTTTTGCTTGAGTTCAGGCTCTTGGCCCTTTGGCTCATGCATGGAAAAAGTTTTAGGCATGAGTTTTGCTCTGCCACTGCTCACTCAGCTCTTCACGTTCCAGAGACAGAAACACTCTGAGCAGTTCAGTGTGGGCAGTGGTTTGGGTTTGGGGCTTGTGGGGAGGCTGAAACCACTGGTGTGCAGAGAGAGGCCTGAACTTGAACCTCAGTGAATCAGTGTTTCAAAGTCTTAAACAGCTTTTAAAAGTATTTAATTTGGTTTTGCTCTTTGCCTCTGGAGACTGGGGTGGCAGGAGGGAGGTGCTGCAGGTCGTGTCTCTCTGCTTAGGTGTTGTAACTCAGGCTCTGTAACTCAGGGGAAGATGTGTGACCAGAATCCTGCCTGCAGCTGTGTGAGCTTCTTGATTTCCCTCCCCTGGCTCCTGCCTTGCTGTGTAAAACACACTGTTCCTTGGCAATTCCTTTAGGAAATTCCGTTTATTTTGGCATGAAGCCAAAAGAGTGTCCAGAGAATGTGCTCTAAAGCTTCCCTGAGCTTAGATTTTGGACTGAAGTGTGCCCTGTTTTGTTTCCACAGCCACCATGTCAGAAGGGGACAGCATTGGGGAGTCTGTGCATGGAAAACCTTCCGTGGTCTATAGATTCTTCTCAAGGCTTGGACAGGTTGGTTTTGTGAAGGGCTTTTCTGGCTCCTGTAGGTCTCACTGCAGCTTCTTGCAGTCATTATCCTGTGGATGAGCTATTGAAATGCTAAAAGCTGCAGGAGAGATTTCTTTTGGAGCCTTTGGAAATGGATCAATGTTGTGATGTGGAGCTAATGAAGTGCTCAGTGGGTCTATGTGTGACTCTGCACAGGGAAAACATATGTAATTGTCAAAACTGAGGAGTGACTGCAGATTTCAGGTCAAATTCATCTTGAGGAAAGTAACTTGCATAAAATACAGAAAGTTTAAATTGCTTGGCAATTCCCCATGCATTAAGGAATTTTTTCCTTTGTGAAAATACAGAACTTTTCAAATGCTTCTCAGTATGTTTATATGTGATTTGTTGGTAATAAAGAATTAAATACTCCTCCCAAATGCTTCTTGTTGCTCATGCTGCCCTGTAATAAATGTATTCATTGTGTATCATGAATTTTATAGGTTTACAGAAAGCATTTCCTGATTTTTCCTTTGTTTCCTCCCAGATCTACCAGTCCTGGTTAGACAAATCCACCCCGTACACCGCAGTGCGATGGATTGTAACTCTGGGGCTGAGCTTTATCTACATGATTAGAGTTTATTTACTGCAGGTAAGAGCTGCATTGTTTCAGACAGCAGTGCTGGTGTGTTCTCTGTGTCAGGAGTGTTTGGCAGTGTGTTGGGTCAGAGTCACATGTGGGTGTTTAGCTCACTGTGGAAGGTGAGTTGGATAGTGTGAAGAGACATCATGTTGGTGTTGGAGTTCTGCTGCACATTGGGAAATGTGTGAACACTCAAGGAGATTCATCTGGTGGCAACAAAGTGGAAATACTCCATTAGTTCTGCTGGAATTACATAACAAACCTCTGCAAATGTTTGTGATTTGGGTTTTTCTTTTCTGTTGAGCTGTGTAACCACAGACTCAGGAGCCTGTGCTTACCTTCTGTCCTGCCAGCCCTGCAGAATGGCTCTTGCAGCACTGTGCTCCCTGCAAGTCAGTTAAAAACCTGGCAATTGTTATCCCCAAAACCTGAAGGTTACACATGGAGTGTGAAGACTTTGCAGGTGATAGTGATAGGAACAGTTCAGAGACTGAAGACTGCAAAGGTGATTTAAGAAGTGATGGGTTTATCCTCTTTACTGCTGTTATGATGACTGAACATTGGGTCTGGAGCCTGGCAAAAGTTTCCTGTTAAATCTGTCAGTCCATGAGGGGTTTGCACTCCTGTTGTGTCCTAAGACTTGTTTTGATCAGGGAGAGTTGTTAATGTTTGTGCAGCGAGTCCAGAAACCTTTCAGTTAACCCGAGGGTGAACAACACACTTCTCAAGGAAGCAAAACCCAGGTTGTTTATCTTGCTGAAAGCTCAGTGTCTGACATGGTTTGCAGGCAGAGTCTAACTGTGGCTTTCCCACTCTGTGCAGGGTTGGTACATTGTGACATATGCCTTGGGAATCTACCACCTAAACCTCTTCATAGCTTTCCTGTCGCCAAAGGTAGATCCCTCTCTAATGGAAGATTCAGGTAGGATGCAAAGTTCACTTTGCCAGAATTTTGAACTCAGCCAAACCTGCAGTTCCTTTGCTCTGCTGCAGTGGGGTAAAGATGGGCAGTTTCAGCATGCTTAGCCTTGAAAACTCTGTGCAGGTTGGCATCAAGAGTTACTGTAAAATGTACCTTTTTTTTTGGGTTTTTTTTTTTTTTTCCCAGGACTGGAGCATATTCCATGTTGTATTAACTCTCTGTATTTTGAGAGGATGTTTGTGTGCCTGAAGTTCTCCCCAGAGTAACTCCAGTGACCTGGCACTCTGTTTCCTCTTTTCTTTTGGGGATCCCATGTTAGTTCTATTGAACAGCCACTGCAGTGGGATCTGTGTGTGGCAGTGGAAACTGGGGTGGTTTTGCTTTGGGAGATGTTGTGTTTTGGTGTGTGGAGTCTGAACAGTGTGAAAACTGTCTGAGGGGGTTTTGGTTCCATGTTTTGCTGTTGCAGATGATGGTCCTTCCTTACCCACGAGGCAAAACGAAGAGTTTCGGCCTTTCATCCGAAGGCTCCCAGAATTCAAGTTCTGGTGAGTGAGTGTTTCCCTCTGCCCATGCTCTCTTCTGAAAATGTGTGTGGCTGGGCTTGGTGAGTTAATTACTACTCTTATTTTTAAGGCACTCTGCCACCAAAGGAATCCTGGTGGCTATGGCATGTACATTCTTCGAGGCTTTCAACGTTCCTGTCTTTTGGCCAATCCTTGTGATGTACTTCATCATGCTATTTTGTATCACGATGAAGAGGCAAATCAAGGTAACTCACCAAAAGCAGAAGTAACTTCTGTGATGTCAGAATTCAGTGCTGTTCCAAACAGCCAGTCAAGCATTTGAGGTGTTAAATGAATTGCACACTCCTTTTGCTAGAGGAGCGTGAACAACTAACACTTGGCTGTTAGTTCAGTTCTTGAACATTAGTTCAGGTATTGGATCCCTGCAATGCTGAGCAGATTTTACACATCTTTATTCTTGCTTTCAAAAGGTTTTGAGTTCAGAATGCAAAGCCAGGTTTTGTGCAGGTTCTCACCCACTTCCTGTCTCAGCTGTGGCTGTTTTGAATGAAGAGGTGTAGTATGATGTGAGAAAGTAGTTGGGGAAAGGGGAAGAGCAACACAGACAAGTCATTCAGAGCATTTAGCAAATCACTTATGGTGGTTCGGCCTTTTTTTAGAAAGAACTAATTTTTCCCCCAGACACTCAGAATTTTGGAAGAGTATTGTGATTCCAGGTGGTAAATTAAAGGGGAGTAAGGACTTAGTACCTCAGAATTTTGGACAAGTACTGTGATTCCAAGTGTTAAATTAAAGAGGAGTAAGGATTTAGTTACCTCAGTGCTCTCTCCAGTTTGCTGTGCTCCCCCAGTCAGTGATCAGTCCACATTTGAGATACCCTTACTCAGAAGTAAACTGGTGTAGGATTAGCTGCTTCATTCTCTCTGCTAAGAACTTTCTAGAGAACTTGGTAATCTACACTGTGTGTTGTGAAACCCTTTTGTCAACCCTCTGTAAGTTCCTTGCCTCAACAGCTGATCTTTTCTCTTTGCAGCACATGATAAAGTACAGATATATACCCTTCACACATGGCAAGAGGAAATACAAAGGGAAGGAGGACGTGGGGAAGACCTTTGCTAGCTAGGAGCAGCAAATCAAGTCACTGACCAATTCTCCTTGTCCCTAAAGGAACGATCTCGAGCCATTGTAACAATGCCTTTTTTCTTCATAAAGTGATTAACAGAGTGGTGACAAAGCAGTTGAATTTTCATTTTAGGAGGATCTTGCTGTTTTTATCTCAAGTATCAGTTTCTCGAGGAAACTGGCATTCGAACCAAATCGCATTGAGTTTGTTCTCTTCTGTAACAAGTTGGAGAGACTTGGGGGAATCCCATGGATTTGGGATAGTGTCTGTCTTTGGAGTTCCATTGCACTGAAGAGATGAATGGCTTAGAGCTGGATATTTTTACCTAGTTCTCCTGCTCAACATCCCCCTGACGTGCTGTGCACATCTGTGCAGGGAAGTGTTTGCTGGCACACATGATGCTGTTTTCTGCTTCATGGCCATGTGCTGTTTCATTTTCAGTAACCTAAGTAGATGCAGAACTTAAGCCAGTTTCCTAGATGCATGGTATTGCTGAGTTAGAACCAAACCAATATAGGTAGGAGTAAAAATCTACTAAATCCTGGGTTAAGTAGGGCACAAATCCTCATCTAGCTTCTAAAGCAACTCATTTGTGTTGGGTTTCAATGCCAGTTTCACTGTTCCATCTCTGAGCAGATGCTAAAATTGGGCTCTTTGGTGATGACTCAGAACTTTGTTCAAACTCTATCACAATTTCCTTTGAGGACCTGGAATTATAAAATATATATATTTTAATTGTTATTAGTTGGAGTTTCTTTCATACTTAATGGTTTCTGGGTTAAATTAAGCTGACCTGAGGCAGCCCCACAGGATGTTCCCACACTGGCCAGGCCAGGACAGACAGTGGTTGGGGTTTTAACACAGCTCTTCATTTTCTATGGGGGGGGAAAAAAAAAAGAGAGAGGTAAATGACCTGCATGTAAACTTTTTCATGTGATACAACTGCAGTTTTATTAAGTGACTTTTTAATTCCAAAATTTATTAAAAGACAGTGTTCCCCTTTACTTGTTCTCTATCTTTATATCCATCTCTTGACCTAACAGTCCTCGTGGCTCCTGTGCAGTAATGGTTACCCTCAGTTTACCTTCATGCAATGCCTTTCCCAGCTCTTCAGGGAGGGAAGGCAGGGAAAGGTTAGCTCCTTGGAGACTCTGAGTGGCAGCTTCAACAGGCACCGAACTGGGAAAGGTCTGTAGGAATCCTCTGCTCTGATTCTGTCACTGTGGAGCTCTGAATTCAACCCTCAGTGACCCTGAGAAATAACAGCTACTTCTAGCTCACACTGACCTCTTGCTTTTTGTTTCTTTGCATGTGTTTGTGATATGGAGTATTTTTCTTCCACTTGTTGGCTTGACAGTTTTTCATTGCCCAAAATGAAAAAACCTCACATTGATGTTAAACACTTTCAAGAAACACATTTTTGCTCTGGTCAAGAACCACATGGGAACACACAGGGGGCAGAGGCAGGAACAGCTTTAATGTGTGACACAGGAGTGAAGTGCCACCTTGCACAGGCAGGTTCCAGCTTTAATAAAGCTGCTTCTTGGACCAACTCAAGCTGTATGACAACTTTCTAAAGAGCAGGAGAGCAGGAGAGGTGTTCCCTTCACAGCTGGTAGTGCCGTAGGTAGATCAGCTTCTGAGGGTGGAACTTCTCTCTGCACAGTGGACATTCTGTCTGCAGGGAGAAGGGAGATTCCATGGAATGGCTCTATTTTAAAAGGAAATCAGCTACTTCTAGAAAATAATCAGCACCTGTAATTTAACAACTTTTTCCAGTCCAGTTTGTGGTACAAGTTTACCCATGTGGAGCACTGAGCTGGCCCAGTTTGAACTGCTCACCTTGTTCACTGGCCCAGTTTGAACTGCTCACCTTGTTCACTGGCCCAGTTCAAACTGCTCCCCTCATTTACTGGCCCAGTTCAAACTGCTCCCCTCCTTTACCTCACTGCTGTGACATCAGTCATTCTACTGCAACAACCCACAGGTCCTGGCACACTGTGTGTGGATTCCTGGTGCCTCACAGGGCACTGCCCCAGGCTCAGGGGGTTCTCAAGCAGAAGTTGCACTGTTTGCCCCTTGCAGCCTGTGTGTGTGCTCACCCTGGTGTTGCACCAGGCAGTGATGCACTCCCAGCAGAAGAGGTGCCCACAGGGGGTGGCTGTGCTGTGTCTCCTCTCCTCCAGGCACAGTGTGCAGCGTGACTGTCTCCCAGGGGCTCTGTCCGTGCTCGTGTGCCTAGTGAACAGAGGGAGCTGTCACTGCACACCAGAAACATTCATAACCCCCATCTCCAGCTATTAACCCTCCCCACAGAGACCTCAAAAACATCCAGGCATGAAATCGAGATGCTTTGAACAGGGAGGAGTTAATTCTGCTGATTAAATATTATGTTACATCAGGTTCTAACTCAAATCAGCATCACTCCCGTGTTCTCCCTGTCCATGACATTCCCACCAGTGCTTCCAACCCTTTCCTGGTGAGGAAGGCACATACCTCTGGTGGGGGAGGCTGCGGTGCAGCTTCCACTCCTGCCGTGCTCTCTGCCTCTGCTTGAAGCTGTGAACCTGCACAGCCACAGTGAGCAGCAGGTGCAAGAGAGAAATCACTCCCAGGACCTTATAACTCGACCGGATGCTCTGATCTTCTCCTTGCAGCCCTCCAAAGTGCAGCTGTGAATTCCAGGGACAGAAGTGTTTTAGTCTTGTGGGTGGATGAAACTATTCCCTCCCCCTTCAATAGACTCTTGATTTGGGATTCTCGTTTCTGTCCAGAAAACTGATGTGTTTTAGGATTTCTCCCCCCACTCTCAGGAGGTCTAAAGACATTCCCTCGGGCTGGACTTGGCTGCTGTCTGTGCTGGCTCAGCTGTCTGTCCATCAACACTGCAGCTTCAGTTGGTTTGGTTTTCTTACGTATCTCTGAGCAAATAGGCAAACACTTCCACACCGGTGTTGGGAATTGTTGGAATCTTGTGTCTCTACACGTTTCTGGGCTTATGGGTTTTGTAAACAGACAAAATTAAAGTTTTCACGTAGAAAACTGCTCTCCACTGGGGTTTGCTCTCCACTGGGGTTTGCTCTCCACTGTGTTTCAGGATTTCACATGGATTTATTTGGTCACTTCTCACTTTTGGTGCATTTGTGGCAGACACTGGAGGTACATAGTGACTGCTCTCACACATCACCTCTGCCTGCAGGGATTCATCCCCCTCTACACAACACTGACACCTTCCCTCTCACCCCATGGTCGAGCCAAACTCCTGATCCCTTTCACACTGCGGTGGGCACATCTCCACCCAAGGAACACATCACTCACGTATGAGATCCCTGTGACCCTCTTAGAGAGGTGGTAGAAGGTGCCAGAGATGTAGAACACTGCCAGGTGCAGCCGGTGCAGCACAGGGATGGATTGCTTGAGCATGTACACCACTTGGGATGCTGCTTTCTTCTGCTGCTCTGTGAGCTCCCCAACCTGCCTCTGCACCCAGCTGCGCCACAGGCTCCTGCTGGGACCGAGTCCTGGGGTGCTCTGGGAGGTCCTGGAGTCATCCCCTTCCACCTGCAGCTCATGCTCCAGGTGCAGCAGAGCCTTCTCCAGGCAGTAGGGCACCACGGTGTGCAGGGAGATGAAGACGGCTCGTCGGAGCAAGGAAGGAATCTTCTTCTTGGATGAGTCTACTTGGACAATGCTCACGTACTCCTCACCCAGTGTCTGGTAACCTGCAAGAGAAAGCAGCGTGAGATGGCAAGGGCAGAGCATCCTGTGGGGTGAGCAGTGGGGACAGGCTGCTCAGGGCAGAGCTCCTCAGGCTTTGGAGTTTGAGAAACAGCTGTGGGTTTTGTGTTGGTAAAAGCATTATAGTCACATCAGCATCTGCAGCATCAGCAATGGTTTTAGGATTAAAGCTAAAGAATTAAAACAAATGTTCTAATATTTATAATATTACGAAATAAAAAGGATTCAGAATACTCTTCGTGGTGTCATGCATCCCTTTTTTTACACACTTCTGCTTTTAGAAGAATGTCTGTCTGTATGAAACTGCATTTGAAGGTGAACTTTGACAATTGAGGGGTTTCATAGGTAATCAAAGGTATTTATCTGAAACAAAGCAGCCCACACCAGCAGCACAGCAGCCCCGGGCTGACCCTTCTGCCTTCACAGCCAGAAGTGCAGGCCCAGAGCTCACCTGAGAGCGTGGTAAGGACGAAGTAAGCCACGTCGGAGAGCAGCTCAACCTCTCTCCTCCACTCCAGCCACCTCCTGGCACCTGTGGGACAGGGTGGCTGCTGTCACACCTTGTGAAACCCACGACCTGAGCCCTTCCCAGGGAGTGCCTGCATCCATCCCCCTCGCCCCATCCATCCCCCCTTGCCCCATCCATC